TAGCCATGGGTTTGGTAGTTGAAAGGCAATAACAACTGATTTGTACTGTAAGATTGTCTGTGGGAAACATTGGCTCCATTTAGTCTTCATAACTAGGTAAAGCGAATCCCAATATAATCCAATAGGTGAAATTTTGTTTATCAAAACAGTGTAACCACAGTCCCTTTCGGTGGTGCAAGCTCCCTTCCGCGACAATCGCCGTTTGACAGTCTCCCCGAGAACGTTCTTTGAAATAGCTGTATAAGTCGTATTAAACCATCCCAATTGAGGGACTTGTACCCAGTCTTCCACGGTATAACATCACAGGCAATATAGAAAACACGGGATTTCAAAAGAAGGGAAAGTCGAAAAGGTTTGTAGATGAATTTTCGAGAACAATAAAACATCAAAGATATATTGAGTCGATAGATCCAGTTTCAGACGAATACAAAGCTTTTCAAACATCACGTGGCATGTCAACAATCCGAAAAATAGTACGTTTATTGATTGTTTGCATACGAAACAACACAATTTGTATTAGTTAAAATTTCTTAGAATTGTACTTGTTCTTTATTGATTTATCGTTATTCATACATTATTATTTATTTATTTATTATCTTGCTGGGGACCGATTTTAGCTTTAGCTTTTTGCAAATCTATCTATGTATTACGTCGCGTTGAGAATGAAACAATTAAGCCCAAGAGTAAAAGTGTGAATTCAATTATCCTGTAGTCAATTGGTAACCTTGGCTCTCTCCTCTTCGTCAACAATCGAGACATTATAGCAAGCATAAATTAGCTGAATGACACTGACTGTTTGCTTTAAGATGCAAATTGGTGCTGTGATGAATGCCATGGATGKGAAGAGATAGAAGGATCTTCCTGCAATCATAGCTATAGAGATAGGATAGAATTAATAAGAAAAGAAAAGGTAAAATAAACAAGGKGAGTGGGAGTGGGAGGGATTAGAATTTGGAGGGGAAAGCCAAATATTAAGGGGCGATCCATTAGGATCTACTTGGTGCAAKAATTTTCTACTCACACATAATGCTATTTTTTAAATTTCAATAGATGAAAGAGAAGCACGAATATTTTTCCAAATATATATTATCTGCTGGAGGAATTTTGTTTTCTTGGTGGAGGAGGCAGGATGTCTTATTCTTGTCGTAAACGCAATTTTGTTGGTCAAGAAAAGGTACAAAGACACCTATGTACAAAGGTTACTGACTTTTACTGACTTTGTAAAAGGTTACTGACTTTTACAGTGGTTTCTTTATCCTAAATCAAATTCGGAATTTGAGAAGGGCAACGAATTTCCAACTTTTAAACAAAAATGATGTCGGGAGAAATTGTTTACTAGCACATTAACGTAAGAATTTGGTATCATGTGGCGCCTGCTGATTGGATGATGTGGAATCTATTGTTTAAGAACTTTCCTTTAAGTCGAAAATTATTTACTTATTTATTTTTTTAAAAACGGTTTTCTAAAGAGAACTTCCAATATGGCTTGCATGATTTTTTTTTCAGAGTCTCTGCAAGACTTTTTGTCTTGACTTATCTTGCAAGAATTCTTTTTTCATGACCTTGGAGATACAGGATATTTTTTCAAAATCTAATATATCGGCCCTAAGTAATATAAAAGGGCATTACAAAATTTACTCCCAAAAACATAAAAAAACACATGAAAGAACAAATGTTTTACATGGATTAAAACTGTCACTGGGASAAAGAGACTGATCACTTACCTGTGGGGCCTGGGGTAAAGTGAATTAGGTACAGCATGCARAAGAACAACTCATTGCCTGCACAGAATATGGACAGCACAAACTAGAACAAGAAAATGATATTGATATTATATATGTTAGTTTTTGATTTGTTAATGCTAATAAAATTGACCTTCTCTAAATAATTTAATGACTGATCACAAGGTCAGTTTGGATTATAGAATAAATTACGTAGATCTATCCACCACAGCTCTACTCTACCCACCCTAAGCCACTAGCTCTATTCAATCCACCCAAAGCCACTAGAAAGTGTTATTGTTGTTGTTATTGCTGTTGTTGTTATTAGTGTTATTATTATTATTGTTTAGTGTCATTGTTGCTGTTATTAGTGTTATTGTTATTAAGTGTTATTGTTGTTGTTGTTGTTATTAGTGTTATTGTTGTTGTTATTGTTGTTGTTGTTATAAGTGTTATTGTTGTTGTTGTTGTTGTTATTTT